TCTAATTTTGAATCCAGTGCTAAAAACTACTGCTGTAGGCTGACGTAGCATATCAAGTGAGCAAACCTGTTTACAGATGTTCCTTTTCATATAGCCTCTACACCTTTCTATGGAATAATACCTCCAAAATAAATACAATTGAGTGGACAAATTAGTAGACTGAGGCTATGTGAGATTAAAGGAAATGACAGAACCTCTAACTTGTCAAGAGCCTTTGGGTGTCAAAGGACGGGTCTGAGCAGGGGAGACTGGCAGGAAGCCTGTGGTTTGGCCAGGTTTGTAGCAGCGCAAGAAGCTAGACTGTGGCTGACGGGGAGAATCAGTGCTGAAAGTGGGCTAAGGTTGCTGTCAGGAAATAGTAAGTGAAGGAGCTTAAGGAATATTCACTTGGAGCAGGATTCTAGAAAAAAAAAGAAAAAAAAAAAGAAATCTGAGTCAAGCACCAACAGCGCTAAAGAAAAGGGTGGGTACAAGGGGGAGATGCCCTACCTGGGAGGGACAAGTCTCCCCTGGGCGTTCTGGAGGCAATGAAGAGACAAGAACCCCTGGGTATCACCAGGGGTTGGGGGAGGTGTGTGGAGCCACTGAGAGGAACATTGCTACTTTGTCGCAGTATCTGGTGATAAACATCCTACTATCAAACTATCAATACTTCCTGGGGCTGCCTCCATGGCCTGGGGGTTAAGGTAGCTGGATCCCACATGGCTGACCTAGTGGTTTGAGGCCTGGACCTGGTAGCTTGAGAAACACATGAGGTGTTTGTGCATATCCAAAATCTTGAAGGAGAAATGGAGAAGGGATTGCAGTGTGACCATGCCCCCAAGGGTGCTTTCTTCTCTCCCTCTTCCTCTGTCTCTCTGGTGAGTGCACAAACCTTCTAAACCTTCTGGCAGAAAATAAGTAAGTAAAAATGCTTTCTCTTATTACTTTATCATATTTATAGTAACCATTTAAAATCTACAAAGCACTAATTCACATTTTTACCCCATGCTACTATAGTTTGTCTACTCTTATTGCTCTGTCCTTATAAATGGCAAAACCTCAGACAAACATAGTAATATGGGATTTTGCCATTTTGGAGCATAGTTTTTAAAGTATATTTTATTCATGATAGAAAGCGAGAGAAGCACCCTTGACAGGGCCTTGTCATGCCATAATTCTTTTACCTCAACCCTCTGGCTTGTCAGGCCATAAGCAAGTTCCTGTGTGTGCCCACTGTGTTTCAGGGTTACTGGGCCAGAGATTTGAACCCGTAATTGACTGTGGTTTCCAGCACTGTAAATCAGTATCCCACCAACTGTACAACTGAGGTTGGGCCCTTTGGAGCATTTTTATAGATGGTGTTGAAGTACCAAGGTTACTCTGTGTATGCAAACATAAATTAAGAAAAGTGATTTGAGGGACCAGCAGGTGGCATGGTGGTTAAGGCACTGGACTCCTACATGGCTAACCACAGTGTGAGTCCTGGACTTGGCAGCTTGCTTTCTAACATTCCCTCTTTCTTTCTCTCTCTCTGGTAAGTAAGTGCCCATGCCCTATAGCAGATTTAAAAATAAATAAAATTAAGTAATTATTATTTTTTTAGAATTATTTTATTTAACTTTATTTATTATTGTTTTCCAATTTGATCAGATCAGAGAGAGACAGAGAGGGAAAGGGAGAAAGCAAGCCACCAGGTCTGGGACTTGAACCATGGACAGCCATGTGGGAGTCCAGTGTCTTTAGCCACCACGCCACCTGCTGGCCCCAATAATTCTTTGTTAAAAGTTATTTCTTTTATTTATTATTATTATTTGTTTTTAAATTTGATCAAAGAGACAGAGAGAAGGAGAAAGTGGGAAAGTAAGCTGCCAGGTTCAGGACTTGAACCATGGTTAGCCATACGGGAGTCCAGCACCTTAACCACTACCCACCTGCCGACCCCAAATTAAATCATTCTTAAATAAATGAAAAGTGATTGTAATCTCGTTTGGTATTCCAATTGTGTAGGGTGATACCAAGTAATTTGCATCTAATTAAGACTATCCTGTGTGGAAAATTTGACACAAAATTCCAAGACCACCAGGGCTAACCCAGTGGCAATTTATAAATCTGACCATTGGGCTCTGAGCGCACGTAACTGACGCCTTTACTCACATGACACACACCATGGAGATGTGAGTCATTTAGAAGGTCTCAGTCACCCTGATAGTTCCCTCATAATTTTGTGTATATTGTCAAATATCCAGGCAAAAAATAGCTCTTTCTTGCTTTAGAGACTCACTTTTGAATGAGGAAACTAAAAACAGTTTAGCAGTTGGAATTAGTCAGACCTTGACTTAATGTGGACTTGGAATATTAGTTACGTTTACTAGGAGCTTATGACTTTTAAGAAATTTAGAAGAAGCTCTCACAGACTGACTGGAAAGTTTTGGCTATAAACTAACTTCCATAGTCCAGATTGTGGCATGAAAGAGAGCAGAGAAACCTAATCAGACTTGTGCTAAAAAAAAAAAAAAACTAAACAAATATAAGTACTTGAGATGAAAAATTAATGGCTGTCCAAGATAAGGAGACTTGGGTGGAAATTGGCCTCAGAGGTAAGAGTATGAAGTCTCAGTTACAGCCATATGTCTGAACTAATTGCTCAAGGGCATTTTTTAAAGAAGAATTATTTAACTTTATTTATTATTTAAATTTGACCAGAGAGAGGATGGGGGAGGGGGTAGAGAGAGAGAGAGAGAAAGTTGCCAGGTCTGGGACTTGACCCATGGTCAGCCACAGCCACATGGGAGTCCAGTGCCCTTAACCACCACGCCACCTGCTGGCCCACAAGGACATTTCTTAACAAGAATTCACTGACCAGCTGGCATTAAAGTAAAAGTACTCTAAGTTACCACATACTGCCTGATGTTCATTGTAACCCCTCTCCTTTTGCTTGTATCTGTGCTATTGAAATGTATGATCCATGAAATGTGAAGAGCCAGTTAGAAATTTATGCTGTTCTTGTGAATTAATGTGGTGAGTTTTTAGGGGAAAATAAACTCTCATAATTCTCCTTTCCAATGTTCTCTATAAGGGAAAGCCCTAAGCAAGCTCTGCTATTTTGGAGCATTGAGTACAGTCTTTGGAAGTCCTCGTTCCCAGGTGTCCTGTCCTTATACTTTAGCTTGAATTAAACCTTTTGATTAATTTTGATTTCAGGTGGACGTCAGTAACCTTCAGCGTGGTGAAAACCAGCTGAATCAGAATGATTCCTCATCAACCCCAAATCTATCAGCTGTGGACCAATTAGTTCTAGTCCATGGCCAAGTAGAGCTCGATATACAATCCCTTCATTGTTTCAAAGGAACTAGGGAATAATATCGCCATTTAAGTAATTGGTAACGGTTAGTTAGGCTTAATCACAGAAGTATTTTGTTTACTATGGGACAAATCACTGAAATACAAGACAATACTCATTTGAATAGTAAGGAAATTTTGGTAAAACAGGTATTCTTTTTCTTTTAAGAATTATTTTATTTAACTTTATTTATTTAAATTTTTACAGAGAGACAGAGAGAGAGAGAGAGAGAGAGAGAGAGAGAGAGAGAGAGAAAATTGCCCGGTCCAGGACTCCACCCGTTATTGGCTATGTGGGAGTCCAGTGCACTCAACCACTACGCCACCTGCTGGCCTCTTGAAGCTGCCATCAGGAGATGGACAAAGCATATTGGAAAAAATTTTCTATTACTAATTTCAGATGTTTTTTTAAGAGAGATTTTTGCTATAGGGTGTGTGCATTCATGGGGGAAAGAGAGACAGAAAGGGAGAAATCACCCCCTGCAAGGATGGCCACACTGAAGTCCCTTCTCCATTCTTGTCTTGGGATCTTGTGCATGCACGCACAAGTGCCCAGCCTGAGTTTGAAGGCATCGGACCCGGGACTTGAACCACAGTCGGCCATGTGGGAGTCTAGCAACATAATCATTATGCCACTGGGGGTCCCTAGATTTGCTTTTCAACATATGAACTCATCTTTTATCATCCAGCCGTAGCTCAACTTCCACATGAAGTATTTCCTTACTTCAGAGAGAACACTCCTATCAACTTCTGATCATCTATTGCTTGTATACATTTACACTTTGTACAATAGTTTTTCTCCATTTTTTTCTTATTGTAAAATACATACAACCTCAAATTGCCATCTTAACCATTTTTAGTGTGTTCAGCGGTATTGAGTATATTTGTATTGCTGGGCAACCATCACCACCACTCATTTCCATAACTCTTTTTATCTTAGAAAATCTAAGCATTATTTATTAAATTGTGGCTCTCCATTCCCTGATCATATTTACTTTTTATGTGGTAAAATCAATTTCCTGTTAGCCTTATCACACACTGCCTTGTAAGCCACAGGTAGGAAGCACCCATGTATTAGTTATATAACTTACATATACGGCCTTCACTGTCAGCCATTGCTCTAAAGCAAGTTCTTTGCCAAGTAACGATACATAATTATTCATAATTCTAAGTGCCACAGGATCTAGCACGTGCTTTGCACGTGGGAGACAAAGTATTTGTGGAATGAATTTTGGTACCTCTTGGAAAGTTATAAAAGGGGCAGTTTACCCTGGGAAAAACGCCTTCGGGCATCATCTGACACTAGGGCCCAAATGTAAAGTGCTTTATTGTAGCACCTTTACACCAGTTCTCAGCCAAGGGAGCGAGTGGGAAGCTAATTCTAAATGATAGAGAATATAAGAAGTCACTCAACGCAGTTAAAGTCTTCCTTCCCGAGGACACCGGAGGTCAATCGTAGGAATACTTCGGGAAAGTAAAGACCCAGAGCTGGGCTGCAGAGACTGGCCCAGCCCGTAGCTGCGGCTGGGGGCGGGGCCCGTGGGCGGGGCGGGG